GTTGTTAACCAATGTCATAAAACAATATGTGTACTACTGTTTCATGAGAAACTATTTGTTCTGTAAGCCTTCACCTGAAGTACAATAAAAAAAATCTTTTTAAAATTACCTGGTAACAGGCTTATTAACAAGAAAAAAAAAAAAGCTACTGGAACTCAAAGGCATCACTAGGGTTGGTGTCACCCAGTGGGGTAGCTCATGGTGTCACTTCTCCCGTGCTAATTACCATAATACTGTAGCTAAAATACCAGAAAATTTGACAAAATCAGTGACTATAGAAACACCAGCAGTGACAAAAGCAACAGCTCATGCTTGTAGGGTGCGCAGACAAAATCACATGACTCGAAGCATCATTGTAATTGGGTGATAATGACAGCTATGACCAGAGTACAGTAGAAGGTTCAAAAAGTAAAGTACCATAGAGTTTTAGCCTTGTAGGTATACTGATACATGTAAGCTGGGCTTAGATGAAAAAAATGTTATGTTGTTATAACTAACTACAGGGATATTTTTATAAAAAATAATAAATTTCTGCTGAAACACTGCACAAAAATTTTAGAGACAGTCACTTTGGTGTCACTCCCCCGACAGTGTCACCCGGTGCAGTCTGCACCCCCCCACGCCTCCTCCCCTGAGTGACGCCACTGTTAGAACTGAATAGTGAGTTTAGCAAGGTTTCAGGATATAAGATCAATATTTTTTTAATTGTATTTTAATATACTATCGATAAACAACCAGAAATTGAAATTTAAAAAGCAATAGCATTTACAACAGCATCCAAAAATGTGAAACACTTAGAAATAAATCTGACAAAAGATCTTTTAAAGCCCTATACTCTGAAAACTGTAAAACATTGTTGAGATAAATTAAACAACATTTAAATAAATGGAGACATACACCTTGTTTATGGGTTGGAAAAGTCAATATTGTTAAGCCGTCCATTCTCCCAAATTGGCCTATAGATTCTATACAATCTAAATCAAAATCCCAGCAGGATTTTTGTGGAAATTGACAAGCTGAGTCTAATATTCATAAGGTAATTCAAAGGACCTAGAATAGTCAAAATAACTCAGAAAAAGAGAATAAAATTTGGAAGGCTAACACTACCTTATTTCAAGCATTGGTATAAAGGGACAGTAACTGTCTTAGTCTCTTAGTGCTGCTGTAACAGAAATAGCACAAGTGGGTAGTTTTACTGAACAGAAATTTATTTTCTCACAGTTAGACTAGGAGTCCCAACTGAGGGCATCGGCTCTAGGAGAAGGTTTTCTCTCTCTGTCGGCTCTGGGGGAAGGTCACTGTCTCTTTTTAGCCTCTGTTCCTCAGTTCCTTGATGATCTCCATGTGGCATCAATCTTCCCCTATTCGTCCTTGGTTGCTTCTGTGCCTAAACTGCTCCTTTTATATCTCAAAAGTGATTGGCTTAAGACACACTCTACACTGATACGGCCTCACTAACGAAACAAAGAAAACTCATTCCCAAATGGGTTCTCATCCACGTATACAGGGGCTAGGATTCCAACACATATTTTGGGGGACACAATTCAATTCATAGCAGGAACCAAAACAGTACAGCATTGGTGCAAAGATAGACAAATAGATCAAATGAACATAATAGTCCTGAAAGAAATCCACACATATATGGACAATTGATATTTTACAAAGATATAAAGGCAATGCAGTGAGAAAAGGATAGACTTTTCAACAAATGATGGTGGCACAACTGGATATCCCACGTGTTAAAAAAGAAAAAAAAAAGATCAACTTAGATCCATACTTTACACTATATACAAAAATTAACTTAAAATGGATCACAGACCTAAATGTAAAACCTAAAATTATAAAACTTCTAGACAAAAATACTTGTGGCTTTGGGTTAGTCAAAGGTTTTTTAGATACAACACCAAAAGCACAATCCAAAAAGAAGATAAATTGGACTTTCTAAAAATTAAACACTTCTATTTTTCAGAAGACACTGTTAAAAGAATGAAAAGGCAAGCCACAGGCTGGGAGGAAATCTTAGCACAGTATATATGTGATAAAAGACTTATATCCAGAATACATAAAGAGCTCTCAAAGGTGGGCAAAAAATAGGGACACTTTACCAAAGATACATAGTTGGCAAATAAGCACATGAAAAGATGCTCAACGTGATTAGTCAGTCATTAGGGTAATGCAAATTATATCCACAATGATATACCACTACACGTCTATTCCAAAAAAACCAAACCCGTTGCTCTTGAGTCAATTCCAAGTCATAGCAATCCTATAAAGACAGAGTGGAACTGCCCCTTTAGGGTTTCCAAGGAGCAGCTGGTGGATTCAGTAGTCAAGCTCTTAACCACTACACCACCAGGGCTCCAAGCACCTATTAGAATGGCTAAAGTTAAAAAGACTGACCATACGAAGTGTTGGCAAGGATGTGGAGAAACTGGAACTCTCATACACTGCTGGTGAGAATGTAAAGTGGTACAACCAAGTTGGGAAAGAATTGGGCAATTTCTTAAAAAGTTAAACATACACCTACCAAATGATACAGCCATTTCACTTTTAGGCATTTCTCCAAGAGAAAAGGAAATATATATTCATATGACAGAGAAATATAAGTCTATATGACAACGAATGTCCATAGCAACTTGATTTGTAACAACCAAAAACTGGAAACAACCAAGATGTCCTTAAATAAGTGAATGGATTAACAAATTTTGGTATATCCACACAATGGAATTTTCCAGTTGCCATCGAGTTGCTCACACCTCATGGTGACCTCATGTGTATTAAAGTAGAACTGTGCTCCATAGGTTTCAGTGGCTGATTTTTTCAGAAATATCTCCAGACCTTTCTTCCCAGGCATCTCTGCATGGACTAGAATTGCCAGCCTTTCAGTTAGCAGTTGATCTTGTTAACCGTTTGCACCACCCAGGGTGCAACAGAACTACTCATCAATAAACAGGAATGAACTACTGACACATGCAACAACATGGATGAAGCTCCAAATAATTATGCGGAGTGAAAGAAGCCAGACCCCCTCCCAAAAAAAGAGTACATATTATATGACTCCATTGCAGAAAACTCTAGACAATGTAAACTAACCTGCAGTGACAGAAAGCAGATCAGTGGCTACTTGGGAATGAGGGGGGATGGGGAGAGATGGCAGGGAGGGATTATAAAGGCGCATGAGGAAATTCTGGAGGCGATAAGCATAGCCAATGTCTTGACTGTGGTGATAGTTTCATGAGTGTTTACATACATAAAAACTTATCAAACTGTATACTTAAAATATGTGCAACTTATTGTATATCAATTATACCCTGGTGAAGCTATTTTTTTAAAGGTACTTTGTAATTAAACTATTATTTCATTACACAGAGAACACTTTAATACCAAAAAAAGAAGAAGAGGAAGAAGGAAGGACATGATCTCATAATAAAGAAAATTCTTTTAAATAAATTTAGATTTTTGAAAACTTAAAAAAAAAAATTAAGAAGTCACACAGTCTAGCTCTCTGCCTCCAATAGAACTTCATAAACCATCTCAGGCAACTGGTCTTGGAGGAGGACAATAAAAATAGACAACAGTTTTTGAGTATTCACTAAGCACAAGCAGACATGTCAATTCTTTGGCTCAATAGCCTATAAGGTAAGTACTACTATTATCCTCAGACTGAGGAAGGTTAAGAGACACACCTAAGGTCACACAGCTAAGAAGTAGTGGAGGCTACACTTGAACCCAGGCAGTTGACTTAACAGCAGAATTCATACACACACACACACACACATACACACACGTCATGCTCCTCACTTTCCTCTCCCCTTTTTTCTCTGCTTCCTTCAAGTCTTTCTTTTGGTTATTACATGAAAAACTTCATGCCTCTTGCTCCACCCACCTGCACCCCCATTTTCAGTCTTTCCTGGAAGTGCTGTTGTGTGCTATCAAATCGATCTTCAACTCACAGTGACCCATGTGAAAGAGTAGAACTGCCCCCATGGGGTTTTCTAGACTGTAATCTTTACAGGAGGAGCCCTGGTAGTGCAGTGGTTAAGTGCTTCGCTGCTAATCAAAAGGTTGGCTGTTTGAATCCACCAGCCAGTTCGTGGGGAAAAGATGTGGCAGTCTGTAGAAACCCTATGGGGCAGTTCTACTCTGTCCTAAAGGCACACTATGAGTCGGCAACAACTCAATGGCAATGGGTTGGGTTGGGACTCTTTACAGGAATAGATTGCCAGGCTTTTTTCCCAGGGAGCCACTGGGTAGGTGCCAACCACCAGTCTTTCAGTTAGCAGCCAAGCACTTAACCATTGTGACACCAGGGCTCCTTCCTAGAAGGGACTAAAATGAAGGAAGCCAATCAAGAAGATTTGTTTGAGGCTCCTCCCCTCCATGGGGGGTAGGGGGGATAGATGCAAGCATCTGGAAACAAAACAGAAATGAAGAAGGGAGAGGGAGAATGCTGAAGCAGCAGACAATATCCCTCCCCTCCTGGC